CTTTTCGTGCTGTGTTTCTGTTTTCCTCAGCCCTTCTCTGCCTATAAACCAACCTCCTCTGTTGTGGAAGATTTCACACAGCTGAGAAAACAAGAAAAAAGAAACCAACTGCCTGGGCATGGTGGCTCACACCTATAATCCCAGCACTTTGGGAGGCCAAGACAGGCAGATCACTGGAGGCCAGGAGGAGTTTGAGAGCAGCCTGGGCAGCATAGTGAGACCACATCTCTACAAAAAATACAAAAATTAGCTGGGCCTGCTGATGCATACATGTAGTCCCAGCTACTCAGGAGGCTGAGTTAGGAGGATCTCTTGAACCCAGGAGGTTGAGGCTGTAGTGAGCTGCTGATCATGCCTCTGCACTCCAGCTTGGACAACAGAGACAGACCCTGTCTCAGAAAAAAAAAAAAAAGTAATAATTTGCCAGAGAAGTGAAATGGGCAAATAAAACATTGGTTGTCCACTTCATCCATAGCAATGGCTCCACCCACAGTGATCACTCGCTATGGGGAATGTATCCTGGTGGCTGGGGGGTACATCGTCAACACAGAAGCTCACCCCATCAACTCCACTGTCCTGTACTGCCCTTGGGTGGGAACGGGAGGACTTGAGGGAATTCTACTCTCTCAAATGGAATAGGTTGAAATTTCAGAAAAAGACTGAGTTCATGGCCATGAAAAACCCTAGCAGGGCCAGGAACATTTTTCTTGCCTGAAAACCATGACCAAGCACAGGAGAAGTTTTCCTAGACTCCTCATAACCACCGGGTGATTTTTAAATTTTTATTTATTTATTTATTTATTTATTTATTTATTTATTTTGATATGGAGTTTCACTCTTGTTACCCAGGCTGGAGTGCAATGGCGCGATCTCGGCTCACCGCAACCTCCGCCTCCTGGGTTCAGGCAATTCTCCTGCCTCAGCCTCCTGAGTAGCTGGGATTACAGGCACGCGCCACCATGCCCAGCTGATTTTTTGTATTTTTAGTAGAGACGGGGTTTCACCATGTTGACCAGGATGGTCTCGATCTCTTGACCTCGTGATCCACTCGCCTTGTCCTCCCAAGGTGCTGGTATTACAGGCGTGAGCCACCGCGCCCGACCCTTAAAGTTTTATTTTTTAAGACTAAAGTATAACAACTATAACAAATCTGCTTTTAGCTATCAAAAAAAGCATTGGCTGTCTAAAACAGGGGGAGATAAAAGCATGAAGGGCTGGTTTACAAGCCTTCATGAGTGTGTGCTCACACTTAACATACATGAGACTAAAGGATGACCCCTGTTAAAATATGCGCTCTGAAGGAAGAGACCCCCTCAAATAGGCTTTGTGTGAGCAACACGGCTGTTTATTCACCCGAGTGCAGGCAAGCTGAGTCCAAAAAGAGAGTCTTTGGAGGGTGCTGAAATAGGAGTTGTTGTTACACAGGTTTGGGGTAGGCAGTGGAAAAATTACAGAAGTTACAGTTTAGGAGAGTTTTTGCAAGCTGGGAGGGGGTCCTGAGGTCTGGAGTCAGGAGTTTGACCAAGGTTGGTTGCAAAGTCTAAGTGCCTTATCAATTGAGGCAAGAATAAGGAACAATAGAAGAATGTCTCAAGTTAATTAGGTGCCACAGAGGTTGATCATTCTCCCCTTTTCATGGTCTTCCAATTACTTCAGATTTTCCAGAAACTCATCTGGAGTGTCTGTGCAGGTCACAGAGGTTACCATGGTGTCCATGGTACCGTCAGTCAGCCTAAAAGACCTTACAACCCCATTAGATTTTCCTCTGTTTTTCTGGTGGATATGGGGAGAAGGGGTTGGGAGGAGGCTGGTATGACTATTGCAATTCTTGCCAAGGAAGCATTATGTTGGCGTAATGACTATACCTTTTTTTTTTTTTTTTTTTTTTTGAGATGGAGTTTCACTCTTGTTACCCAGGCTGGAGTGCAATGGCGCGATCTCGGCTCACCACAACCTCCGTCTCCTGGATTCAAGCAATTCTCCTGCCTCAGCCTCCCAAGTAGCTGGGACTACAGGCACGCGCCACCATGCCCAGCTAATTTTTTTATATTTTTAGTAGAGACGGGGTTTCACCATGTTAACCAGGATGGTCTCGATCTCTTGACCTCGTGATCCACCCGCCTCGGCCTCCCAAAGTGCTGGGATTACAGGCTTGAGCCACCGCGCCCGGCGCATACCTTTTTTTTTCCTTTCTTTCCCACATCATCTCAAAAATCTTCCCCCTACCTTAGGCAGTGGTCGTAGGCCCAGGACTGCAACTACAAAAGCTGGAAGCAGGAAGGATTCCTAAGCAAGAAACTGTAACTATGTTTTTAAATCTTACCTGAGGATTCCTTTTTATTTATTTTTTTGAGACAGGGTCTCACTCTGTCATCCCTAATGCAACGGTGCCATCATGGCTCACTGTAGCCTGGACCTCCCAGGCTCAGTCAGTTCTCCCACCTCAGCCTCCCGAGTAGCTGAGACTACATGCTAATTTTTGTATTTTTTTTTTTTTTGTAGAGACAGGGTTTCTCCATGTTGCCCAGGCTGGTCTTGAACTCCTGGGCTCAAGTGATTCATAATTTTTTTTTTTGAGACAGCATCTCCCTCACCCAGGCTGGAGTGCAGTAGCAGATCTCGGCTCACTGCAACCTCCACCTCCCAGGTTCAAGTGATTCTCCTGCCTCAGCCTCCCAAATAGCTAGGATTATCGGTGCACACACCACCACTCCCAGCTAATTTTTGTATTATTAGTAGGGATGGGGTTTCACCATGTTGGCCAGGCTAGTCTCGAATTCCTGATCTCAAGTGATCCGTCACTTGCCTCAGCCTCCCAAAGTGCTAGGATTACAGACATGAGCCACTGTGCCTGGCCCAGCCTCATAATTTCTAAGCACCTGATGGGGGTGGATTGTGCCTTTACCCCATTTGGTAAAATTGCTATTAACAGTGAATGCAGAGGAGGGGCGGGCACAAAAAAAAAAAAAAATGGTGACTGCAGCTATATTGCCTGGTGATAAAAATAGTCCACTAATTTTGCACTGTGTGACCTTACCCTATCTAAATGGGAATGGACTGAGGAAAGGTACTTGATAGGCTAGTATTGCTGCCTGCGATCAAGACCAGCAAACCTAATGTCCCTTCCAAAGGTGGAAAAGTTTGGGTAAAATGAAGAGAAGAAGGAATAGTAACTGAGGATGAACAAAGGAGTACATGGGTTATATTATGAGAGAAATCCAGTGTTACATCGGCACCTCCAAGAGATGACATTATCTCAGCTCAGTTATGCCAGGTGCTATACTATGTTTGCTGAGACAACTCCTGCTTTTGGAACCTGTCAAGATTGAATGGAAGTCTGCAAATCTGAGTGGCCTTGCCCTGAAAGATACATTTATATAATATGCTGTAGACTGACTAATTACTAATGATTAAACGGGATTCCAGTAATTTTGCCAGCATTTTTGCATTGTATATCCTTTTTAAATATATATATTTTTTAAGACAGGGTTTCACCATGTTGGTTAGGCTGGTCTTGAACTCCCAACCTCAGGTGATCTGTGCGCCTTGGCCTCCAAAGTGCTTGGATTACAGGCGTGAGCCACCATGCCCAGCCGCATTGTATATCCTTTTGATGTAAGGAATCTGTGTTTATAACAAGGGGTAGGCTGTGGTATTGTAAAATATATATTTGGCTTTTGCCCCAGCTTCTTGGCACACAACTCCTAAAATCCTTGGAATCTCCAAAGAGATAAATGTCTTTTGTATGCTACTGAGACCAGTCTGAGCAACATAGTAATACCTCTTCTCCACAAAAAATGAAAAAATTAGCCAGTCTTGGTGGCATATGCTTGTATTCCCAGCTGTCCAAGAGGCTGGGGTGGGAGGATTGCTTGAGCTCAGGAAGTCAAGCTGTAATGAATTGTGATTGCACCACTGCACTCCAGCCTGGGCGAGAGAGTGAAACCCTGGCTTAAAACAACAACAACAACAACAAAAAGCAGAGGTGGTGGCAGGCTCCTGTAGTCCCAGCTACTCAGAAGACTGAGGTAGGAGGATCCCTTGAACCACGAGGCAGAGGTTGCAGTGAGCTGAGATTGCACCACTGCACTCCAGCCTGAGCAACAGAGTGAAACACTGTCTTAAAAAAGGAAAAAGAGAGCCGGGCGCGGTGGCTCAAGCCTGTAATCCCAGCACTTTGGGAGGCCAAGGCGGGTGGATCACAAGGTCAAGAGATCGAGACCATCCTGGTCAACATGGTGAAACCCCGTCTCTACTAAAAATTACAAAAAATTAGCTCGACATGGTGGCACGTGCCTGTAATCCCAGCTACTCGGGAGGTTGAGGTAGGAGAATTGCCTGAACCCAGGAGGCGGAGGTTGCGGTGAGCCAAGATCGCGCCATTGCACTCCAGCCTGGGTAACAAGAGCAAAACTCCGTCTCAAAAAAAAAAAAAAAAGGAAAAAGAGAAAAAGACTGATAAAACAGACTAAGTCTAATAAGAAACATTTACAATCTATTCTCTCTGAAGCCTGCTACCTGGAGGCTTCATCTGCATAATGAGAATCTTGGTCTGTACAATCCCTTATCTTAACACAGAGATATGCTTCTACTGATTTCAGGTCTTTTTTTTTTTTTTTTTTTTTGAGACGGAGTTTCGCTCTTGTTACCCAGGCTGGAGTGCAATGGCGCGATCTCGGCTCACCGCAACCTCCGCCTCCTGGGCTCAGGCAATTCTCCTGCCTCAGCCTCCTGAGTAGCTGGGATTACAGGCACGCACCACCATGCCCAGCTAATTTTTTTTGTATTTATAGTAGAGACGGGGTTTCACCATGTTGACCAGGATGGTCTCGGTCTCTTGACCTCGTGATCCACCCGCTTCAGCCTCCCAAAGTGCTGGGATTACAGGCTTGAGCCACCGTGCCCGGCATTTCAGGTCTTTAGATAAACTCTCAAACTCTTTTAACCAGTGTCAAATCAGAGAATCTTTTTATTTATTTATTTATTTTTAATTTTTTTTTTTAAATATGGAACGCTTCATGAATTTGCATGTCATCCTTGCGCAGGGGCCATGTTAATCTCTGTATCGTTCCAATTTTAGTATATGTGCTGCCAAATCGAGCACTCAGAGAATCTTTGAAGTCCATTTATGACCTGGGACTTGGAAACAACCTCCACTTGAAGATGCCCTGCCTTTCCGCACCAAACCAATGTACATCTTACATATATTGATTGATGTCTCCCCAAGATGTATAAAACAGTCTGTGACCTGACCACCTTGGGCACATTTTTTCAGGATCTCCTGGGGTTCTGTCATGGGCCATGGTCACTCATATTTGGCTCAGAATTAATCTCTTCAAATATTTTCAAATATTTCACAGAGTTTGACTCTTTTCTTTGACAGTACCCTTAAGATTTGTCTATTTCTTTTTCTTTCCTTTTCTTTCTTTTTTGAGATGGAGTATTGCTCTTGCTGCCCAGGCCGGAGTGCAATGGTGTGATCTCGGCTACTGTAGCCTCCGCCTCCCAGGTTCAAGTGATTAACATGACTCACCCTCCCAAGTAGCTGGGACTATAGGCGGGTGGCACCATGACCAGCTAATTTTGCATTTTTGTTTTGTTTTGATTTGGTTTTGAGATGAGTCTCACTCTGTCGCCCAGGCTGGAGTGCAGTGGTGCGATCTTGGCTCACTGCAACCTCCACCTCCTGGGTTCAAGTGATTCTCCTGCCTTAGCCTCCCAAGTAGCTGGGATTATGGGCATGCGCCACCACACCTGGCTAATTTTTTTTATTTTTAGTAGAGATGGGGATTTCACCATGTTAGACAGGATGGTCTCGATCTCCTGACCTCGTGATCTGCCCGCCTCAGCCTCCTAAAGTGCTGGGATTACAGGCGTGAGCCACCACACCCAGCCTCATTTTTTTTATTTTTAGTAGAGACAGAGTTACATCATATTGGCCAGGCTGCTCTTGAACTCCTGACCTCAGGTGATCCGCCTGCCTCGGCCTCCCAAAATACTGAGATTACAGCTGTGAGCCACCATGTCCAGCCCCAGCACTGACTTTTTAAAATGCTAAGTGGCTCACACTTGTAATCCCAACACTTTGGGAGGACAAGGAAGGGAGGATCGCTTGATCCCAGGAATTTGAGACAAGCCTGGGCATCATGATGAAACCCTGTCTCTACAAAAAAAATACAAAAATTTACTGGGCATGGTGGCATGCGCCTGTGGTCCCAGCTATGTGGGAGGCTGAAGCAAGAGGATCGCCTGAGACAGAAGTTTGAGGCTGCAGTGAGCTGTGATCGTGCCACTGCGCTCAGTCTGAGCGACAGAGCGAGACTGTCTCAAAAAATAAAATAATAAAATTAGATATATATATACACACACACACACCGTGATCCCCACTGCTAGACCCCACAGAGGCCCTGAGAAGCTGACAGAGCAGAGTAAAACACACTCCTGCCAAGGGGGAGCCTGTCCAGGGGTGCTGGTGTACAGATGGGGAGGCGAGGGCAAGGGGGCCTGGGACAGCAAGAGAGAAAGAGGTGGCATTTGCTATTTACTGGGGAACAGTAGGAGTTCCCAGACTCCTCCTTCATTCACTGAGAACATCCTGGTATTTCACCTGGGGGCAAATTGTTGCTGGTGGTGAAACCAGGCAGATGAGGGCCTTCCAGTCTCTCTTAAAGACATGGAGTCAAGAAGCTGAAGCTTATATCTTTCCTATTCTTCTCCCAGTGAAATGCACTCTCCTTACTCCCCCAGCCTGGACAGCATTACATTCATTTTTATATTTTGTTTGTGTGTATGTGTTTTGTTTTTTTTTTTTTTTTGAGACTGAATTTCAATTTGTCGCCAAGGCTGGAGTGCAGTGGTGCTATCTCAGCCCACTGCAACCTCCCCCTCCCCGGCTCAAGTAATTCTGGGTGAAAGCCACCCCTGGTGGCAAGCCTTTCTCCTGGCATGCATCACCATCCCAGAACCTGCCCAGACATCAGCATTGATGTCAGTGGGGAGTCCCAGGCAGAGGGGTGTGCAGTCTGATTTGTCTCTCTGGGGCATATAGGTGAGAAAAACCCTGCCCAGAGGTGTGTTTAACTGATTTATTTATTTATTATTTTATTATTATTTTTTAAAGAAAGGGTTTCACCATGTTGGTCAGGCTGGTCTTGAACTCCCAACCTCAGGTGATCCCCCTGCTTTGGCCTCCAAAGTGCTTGGATTACGGGCATGAGCCACTATGCCCAGCCTATAACTGATTTATATATGGAAGTTCCTGACTCGGAGAACTTGGCTGAGATGCCACAAGGCACTATGTAGCAGCCAGGTTATATACTTGCCTGTACCCAAGACCCACGAGCGTGCTCAGTGACCTTCCTTAGAAACAGGAGACAGAAGCATATTATGGGCCTGGTGTAGTGGCTCATGCATGTAATCCCAGCACTTTGGGAGGCTGAGGCAGGTGGATCACCTGAGGTCAGGAGTTCGAGACCATCCTGGCCAACCAGGGGTTAGTAGTGAAACCCCATCTCTACTAAAAATCCAAAAATGTATTTTTAGTACAGGCATGGTGGCAGATGCCTGTAATCCCAGCTACTTGGGAGGCTGAGGCAAGAAAATTGCTTGAAACCAGGAGGAGGTAGCAGTGAGCCCAGATCGTATCACTATACTCCAGCCTGGGTGACAAAGCGAGATTCCGTCTCAAAAAAAAAAAAAGAAAGAAATATGATGTATGTACTCCAAAGTGATGCTGTCCTGGGTTCTAGTCCTGGTTCCTTCATTGATGAGCTGTGAGGCCTTCAGCTGATGGATGACGGTACCAGAACCCAGTGTGCCCTTAATAAGTGGAATCAGGATCAATCACCATCATCATCATCATCATCATCATCATATTTTAGTTCTATCGGAGGGGGACATAGGATGGCCATGATACGTTGTTGGTTTTGTCACCTACAACATGCCAAGAAACATGGAAAAGAACATAGTGGGCCGGGCGCGGTGGCTCACGCCTGTAATCCCAGCACTTTGGGAGGCCGAGGCGGGCGGATCACGAGGTCAAGAGATCGAGACCATCCTGGTCAACATGGTGAAACCCCGTCTCTACTAAAAATACAAAAAAAAAAATTAGCTGGGCATGGTGGCGCGTGCCTGTAATCCCAGCTACTCAGGAGGCTGAGGCAGGAGAATTGCCTGAACCCAGGAGGCGGAGGTTGCGGTGAGCCGAGATCGCGCCATTGCACTCCAGCCTGGGTAACAAGAGTGAAACTCCGTCTCAAAAAAAAAAAAAAAAAAAAAGAACATAGTGGACAGAACCGAGAGCTGGGAGGCCGAACATGGACCTGGGAGGCAGGTTACACAGAATCACCTAGCTGTGTTCTCAGTAGGCAGAAGCCGTTCTTGCTCAGGTTACTTGCTCAAGCTGGGGACTAGCCCACCCAATTTAGACCCGAAAGTCATTGGAGAGGACCTTGTTCAGCCAATGAACAAGAGAAATACCCACACTTTCCACCAAGATAGAATCTGAGGGGCTGCACCTAACCTGATTCGTCTGAGGCTTCTCCTGGGCCCCTGGCCACTCCGGCTGTTTTTCCTATCTTCAGGAATGAAGCCTGAGCAAGACATTTGAGGCAAGGGCATCTGGTTGTAAGCACTGGCTTTGTCACCTACTAACAGGTGATCTTGAGCAAGTTGGTTAAGCTCTATAAACTCAAGTTGCTCATCTATAAACAAAACAGTCATAAACCTTCCATTCCCACAAGGTTACTGAGAGGGTCAAGAAAGGTAACAAGGATGAAACTCTACATGAATGATAGGGAAAATTATTATTAAATTGCACCCTGGCTGGGGCTTCTGGATTCTGGTTTTAGCCCTGCCCTTCCCCCAGGGTAAGTCCCTTCCCCTCTCTGCACCTCGAAATAGTTGGGTTGGAAGAGTCTCTCTAATCCAAGTCTGTCTCTAACCCAAGACTGTCAAGTCTGACAGTCAATGATGACTGTGGTGGAAAAGCAGGCGATGGGAACTGCTGGAAAGTCCACACAAAGCCAAGAGACAGCAGCAGCCAGTGTGCTGAATGATGAGAGGAAGTGAACCCACCTGGGCAGCCCAAGATTCGGGCAGCCCTGAGCTTACGCAAGGAGGCCCCAGCTGATTGGCCTCAGTTTCCTGAGCAGCTCCAGGATGAAGCCCACCCCTGAGCGCCAGACCAAAGCCGGGGCAGGATCACTCGGAGCAGGAGGGGCAGGCAGGCAAACATGATGTCATCTGTGCCTGTGTAAACCACAGGCCCGCCCTCCCGGAGCCCCAGCAGCGCTTATGCTCTCTGGCCAGGATCCCTGAGCTCTGTGCTGTGTCCCCAACCCTTCACATTCCAGGCTCCCAAAGAACTGAGCTGGGACCTTCTGGGCTTCTGTCCAAGCAGCTAGTTCTAATTCCCCCGCCCCCTCACCCCGCTGGAGTAAACAATATAGCCTTCAACGAGGGCCGCTGCCTCAGCCTTGAGGAAAACACTGGGCCACGGTGAGTGTTTCTTTCTTTATACCCACACTTTGTTCCAAGATAGAACCTGAGGGAGCTGTATTTATTCTCATTCTCCTGTCCCCTCCCTGAACTTCCAGGCACTTCGAATGTCACTTGCTCACGTTCACAAGACCCTTTGGGATAGTGGAGGGGTTAGGTTTTGAGTCAGAAATGTGGGGGTTTGATCCCAGCTCTGCCGCCTTAGGAACTGGCAAGTTTCCCAGTCTCTTGGAACCTTAGTTTCCTTGTCTACAAAATGAGGCCTATAGGCCAGGTGTGGTGGCTCACGTCTGTAATCTCAGCACTTTGGGAGGCCGAGGCAGGTGGATCATCTGAGGCTGGGAGTTCAAGACCAGCCTGACCAAGATGGAGAAAGCCTGTCTATACTAAAAATACAAAATTAGCTGGGCATGATAGCGCATGCCTGTAATCCCAGCAACTCAGGAGGCTGAGGCAGGAGAATCACTTGAACCCAGGAGGCGGGCAGAGGTTGCTGTGAAGGGAGATCACGCCTTTGCACTCCAGCCTGAGCAGCAAGAAGCAAACTCCATCTCAAAAAAAAAAAACCCAAAAAACAAAAACAAATGGGGCCTATAATATGGACTC